CTTAAATAAAAAAAAAAAGTGTAAAATTAGAATCTTTATTTATACCTTTACTCATTAGTAATCACTAAATCATCAAGACTCTTCTCAATTTTAGTATTAATTTAATAACAACAAACCAACATTTTTAATACTTCTACATAACCGTGTGGAAAAGCGTGACGTAAGCAATGTCAAATACACCTTAATTAAATCAAAATAAATAAACTCGAAAGAGCACTTGAAGGTACCAGAAGTGCAGAAAACCTCCACTTCTACCACCAAGACTACATTTGCTTATTTTACTCCCTTCAAAAGTGATCCAACTAACATCGCTTTCAAAATTTCCTGCTTCGCATTTCAATCCAAGTGCATGTTGACGAGGGATTAACGTGGAAAAGTTGATTGGATTAATTATTAATTATCATAAGCAAATAAAATAGATTACATTGTTAATTGCCATCAATATATAGTCCCACGATAGAGATGTATGTGACACCCAGCTAATTAGCAGTAATATTAACAGTGTTTCAAAAAGCTTTGGATTTCGATAGTGTCAATCATTATTAGGTTTAAGCATGTGCAAGATGTAGCTTTCTTGAGAACTTGATTAAGTATATATGTAGTAGTTGGTCCGGAGCAATCCCATCCTTAGCTAACAATTATTTAATTAATCTCTGTCAAGGGGTCATAATGTAGTAGGTAAAGAGATTTATTATTTAATTTGTTGATTGAAAATTTTAAACTTTTAAAAAGGCCAACAATAAAATAATTTTTTAAAATTTTTTAATTTTAATATAAATAATTTATTTTTAATTAAATTAGAAAAATAATTTTAAAATATGCATAATATGATATAAAAATTAAAAACACCTTAACGGTCAAACAAAAAAATATATAAGTACACCCTCTTGTATTCTTTAACTATTTCAATCTACAACTTGTTAAGTCACTCAATAATTTTATATATAAAATAAAAATTATTTAATAAACACTACATTTGAAAAATAAAATTTTGATTTTGTCGGTCATAGATAATTATGAGATGCGATCCTTCCAAAATCTTTCCCTTTTTATGTAAGGGGCATGGAGAGTGCTGTTTCATAATTACTTTATAAACAATTTGGTGCAGGATAAAACTGGGGTGGGGGGATTCTAGAGGTTTATACAAAAAGCAAATTGCAATATAAGACATTAAGATTGTGGTTATAGACAAAGAAATTTTATACCCTAAATTAGATAAAAGTTATAGTATATGAATACATGCATATGTTAGAGTGTTTTTAAGTACTACGTCAAATCATCCAGGGATGGTTCTCACATTTTTAGAATTTTTTTAACTTGTATTCCTCAAATGCAAGTTAAATACAGTCAAAGTAATAGATTAATCATTCATCTCATGTGTAATTTTTCATTAGTTAATTAATTTGAGGTTATAAGTAAGAAATTTCGCTAACGAACTAAGTAGGTAAGTGGTAATTTCCTTTGACCGAAAGCAAGAGGTCAAGAGTTCGAATCGTATGACATACAAGTGAAATGGGATAAAAGATAGAATAGGGTTATCTCATATTATGCAACCAACATAAAAAATAATAATAAGAAGAAATTTCAAATTTAAATATCCAAAATACTATAATTATAATACAATATTGTATTATAAAATTATAACATAATATATCATTATATAATTGATTATTTTTATTTAAAAATTTACGTATAATATTGTAAACATTTATTCTTTTAATATTACATCATACTCATTTAATGTTATATTATAATTATAAATTTATAACTTTTGTGACATTATAATTATAATACTACTGTATAAATATGATGATAGGTGAGGAAAAAAAAAAACACTATCTTGTTAAAGCAAAATTCTTTTATAACATTAAACCCAAGCTTCAATTAAAAACAAAAGACAAAAACTTTCGCACCAACGAATTGTTACTCCGAGTGAAAGGAATTTGATTTCCTTTAAATAAAGTGTTGACTTCAAGTATTGTAAATGAAAAAGTAATTGTTATGAGAGCTATCCTTATAAGGTCCGATATAACTCGATTTCGAATTAATTAAGATTTAATGTGATTTTCGAATACCAAAAAATTAATATTTAAAAAAAAAAAAGAAAAAAAGAAAAAGCTAAAACCTTAGCTAGAGTTCCAAAAGTTTAAAATAGCTTTTCAATTAGATGCTTATATGTTACATTAATTAGAGTTACTCTAAGGTAATAAAAAAAAAAAAAACTCTAAAGTCACATCTATTAATAAATATAAGTGTAATTTTATAGATTAAAATTTAAATTTAAGTTTTTTTTAATAGATTGAAATTATTTACATATTAATTAAAGGAAGGGAAAAAAAATTTCATGAGATTCAAACACGCGACTCACAGGAAATAAACGATCTTAACTCAAAGTCTATGCAACTTAATCGAGCATGCCATTCAATTAAGATTTAAGTTTTAAAACAAGTATTTAAAGAATTTTAATTTACTCAAATGTATTAAATCAATGTAAAAAGATGTCTTCAAAAATTTATCACCTAAGAGATATTTTGTACAAAAAATTAATATTAAGATAAGTATAAATTGAGTCAGAAGCATACAAAAGAAAAATAAATTAATTAAGGTAATAAAGAAGACAGAAGTAACAGAACCAAAATATTAGGGATTTTGTTGGAATTACGCCTTAATCATGTTGTCTGCCAAGCCAGCCTGCTGTGTGTGGCAGGAGACCAAATTTACCCCACCCGCATGGTGATGTAAGGACCCCAGTTCCAGTTGATACCACCTTTTGTTTATTGGTTTAAACAATTAGTACAGTTTGGACGGGCTTAAAATTGATCAATAAAATAAGACAATTTGCTTGATCATAAAGATGCATCGTACACATTTAATTCTAATTTTACATTTGAATATATATATATTGAAAGGCATTTTAATGTCTTTATTAAAGACAAATCAATTTTGGAACATGCTAAACTCCAAAATATGGAGTATCAACAAAAAAAGCACGGTGCATCAATGGATTTATCTTTAATGAAGACATTAAATGTTGCACTTCGTATCAACCAAAAAGGATCTCTCAAATTTATAATCCAAATAAATGTTGCAGAAAAGGCTCTCACCCAATTT